TATATAATCTACATCTAAAATAAATTACATTACTGATTATTTAGTGTTTATAATAAAATAATATATATATTCTTTAAATTTCACGTACCCCCTAAGATGTTTTCGCGTATCCCAGGTTGAATACCACTGGTTTAAAGTATGGGATGTACTCTTTAACTTGTTCTGGATATCATAAGTAACATTTCTGTAGATGGACTGTGAACCTGATGATAAATGGACAACAGGACTCATCCTCTATGTTTCAGTATGTCTTGACTAATGTTGTATTTCACAGGAAGTTGTGATGTACAACACAACAGCTTCAGTTTTGTTAGAGGGTCTAAGTTGTGTCTGGGAATTTGGTTATATGTAGTATATAATCATAAAATTACTATTATTAGTTGTCTGCAGCCCTCATTCCAGTCTTTATTGTTCAGAGTTACATCCTGTCACTTTGATTTTTCTTGTACTGTAACTTTTGTAGAAAATTTAAACTTGGCAAATTGCTAACCATCGGGGTAAATCTTTGTTTTATTAGGTAGACAGTTACCAAGAGCTGTAAGATAGGATACTTTTTGTAAGATTTGAGGTTTTCACAGCTGTGATTATGAAGATTTCTGTCTTCTGGGTTGATGCGCTGTGTAGTCTGGTCGATGATTATCAACGTTTCAGAGGTCATACTGCCTCCGTCATCAGAGTATGAAGATTTCTGTCTTCTGGGTTGTTGCGCTGTGTAGTCTGGTAGATGTTAACCAACGTTTCAGAGGTCATACTGCCTCCGTCATCAGGGCGATGAATATGCCAATAGGGTGTGAGGTGCTAGGTTTATAGGGCCGGAAAGTGAACGGTGTAGCCTGCCCCGAGCCAATGGGAGTCATTCCTTTCATTTAATGATTAGATCTCAGTGAGATGTAAGATTGTCACAACATTGTAATTAAAATGTGATGATAAACACAGTAGTATTGTTATTTGTTCATGTTTTAGAGCTGATAGGGCATTGTCTTAATTCATGAATTGTTTGATGTTTGCAGGAATTATGATGAATTCAGCCAGGGCAGTGCAGCAAGTCATGATGACTCTTATGAACAGGAGTTGCGTGACTATGGTTATTGCCAGCGCGAACGTGGAGATAGTAGCCCATCGCCAGGAGCATGCGATGGAGAGACGTCATCTGTGCGGCGGAGTGTCGCTGTGGTGGCAGCACGGCCTGCTAAGAGCTGCAGTCCTGGGGACAAGGTTCCCTGTAGTGAGGAAGATCCTGCCTACAAGCGACATTCTCTACAGAGTGTCGTCGTGAGCGGCGATGTAGCTGCCCCTTCTCAGCTTCCCCCTCCCCCAAGCAGCGTGCAGCATCCACTTGATATTCGCCACCTGCAGAAGGAGAGGGTTCACATTCAGTCTCTACTGGATCAGTTGGAAAGTTCTGGTGATGATGATGGTGGCATGTCAAGCTCAGCACCAAAGAAGCGGCTCAAGCTTGTGAGTGATGACTGTGGTGAGCCCCCACCCTCTTTGCCTATGTGTACAGTTGGACCAGGTGGAATGGACATGTGCTATGAAAATCATGGTGATGTAGGTGCACCATCTTTGGTTGTGACGACCCACAACCATAGGAAGAGTGTGTCGGAAGTGCGAAGGTTATCGGACGTTAGTGGTAAACACTGTAGTCGAAGACTTAGTACTGACAGTGCGTCAAAACATGGTGGGGCAGGGAGGGATGTACGTGAAACATCTGCAGATCGCCTGGTGTCAGTGCAGTCATATTCTCCTCATCCTGTATGTAAGCGCCGTAAAACAGGTAGTAGCACTAGTGAAAGTGAAGACCGCATCAGTTGTCGTAGTACTAAGCATTCTCATCACCACCATCACCATCAGCATGGAGAACCTGCTGCTAGTACATTGGCCATGAGTGGGGGGGAAAGTGTGGATGGTAGTCGTCCAGGTACACCTCTATGCGATGAAAGGCCGGAGAACCTTTTGCCGCCCACGGAGCCTCGTCGATTTCCTCGTGACCGGCTAGCCACTGAAGGACCTCTGTCACTGCCCCTGCCCAGGTTTGCAGCACAAGTTCTTTCCTCTACTCCTCGTTTGTCAGTTTCAGTGTCTGGTATTACGTCGTCTGGTAACAAAGCTGCTCCAGTGTCATCACCTCCTACTGCTATAACTTCTCCGCGGCCTGTACCATCACATCTACAGCCAGTTGTACACCAGCCCCCTCCGAGTCCTGTCACAGTACCACCTCCAGCATCTCCCCCACCAAGACCCGCATCACTACCTTCTTCATCTTCATCTGATTCTGAGCTTTCACCGCCATCTCCCACACTTGAGGAGCGTATTCGTTCCCTGGATGAGAAGTATGAGAAATGGTCAGGTTCAAGAGCACTCAGTGCAGCAGGGGGTGATGCACTTGCCAAGTTGGATGCGTCAGTTAGTGAGCGTTTCAGATTCCGCCACAACTTACTTGACTTAGACTTAAATGAACTACCACCATCGGACATTGTGAAATCAGTACTTGCCAAGAGAAGTGTGTTTGATGAGGACTTAAAGCGACTTGAAAACGTTAGTGACAAATATGAGCCTCGAGAATTTGTACCATATACACGCCCCCCTGGTTGTTTTCAAAGCTTGCGAATCAAGACTGAGTGTAAGAGGGAGTTTCCATGTGCAACCCCAACTAAATCTGTGGCTTCAGCTACCCCTCTTGCTAGTACTCCAGCCACTCCTGGAATAACTGGAAAAGTGGTATCATTCCCAAACCCTTCTAGTAGACTAATGGGCACTCCTTCACCATTGCACTCTCCTTCTCACCCCCTGCCAAAGTCTCCTTTCTCATCGAGCACCCCAATCACTCCTACACCACTGAAGTCACATATGTCTCTATCTCCAGTTGGTATCACTCCTCTGCATACCCAGTGTGGTTCCAAGCTACAGCAGCAACAACAACAGCCTGTACCAAAGGCTCCAAGTACTGGACTACCACCTGCTGCCAAGGGACTTCAGTATCCTTTCCCCAGTCACCCACCAGTTTTGCCAACCACCACAGTAGCTACTACAACAGCAACAACTGCTGCAGCATTGGTGTCTGTTTCAAGTGCGGGAGTGAAACCTAGCTTGTCAGTAACGGTGCCGACCTCAGCCACAGGAACTATGATTTCACCTGAGATTACAAGGACATGTGTAGCAAAGCCTGTCGGACCACTGACAAATACTACTGCGTTTTTAGCAGAGGTGTCGCGATCTTCTGTGATGAGGCCATCAGTGACGGTTCTCACCACAGCTACAGGCACTAAACCTACTGCAGAAGTTACAAGTAGGGTTCCTTTGAAACTTGTTTCTTCTGCACCCATTCCCTCTCCAACATCAGCTGGCAGAGTTCTGTCGCCTGGTTTGTCGCGATTACCAACGTGTGTTAAGCCCTCCACACCGACAGTAACATCTGTATCAGTGAGCACCGCGTTGGTTACGGACACATCGAGGACATCCTCTTTAAGCATTAAAAGTACCAGTAGTTCAGTGATGTCATCGCCAGAAGTTACAAGGTTCCAGCCCTTGACGACTAATACGTCGACGCGGAATTTGTCAACTGTTGTACCTTCTTCACAATCGATACCAAAGGTCTCATCCATATTGTCTCCATCTGTACCAGCTACTGTGAAAGTTTCAACTGTCACAACCAAGCCAAGTTCAAATGCTACTTCAGATGTCACAACAGCCACCACGAGTTTAATCTCACAGTCATCCCCACCAAAACCTTTAAAGCCAGTGGAACAGTCACTAAAGAGTATCAAGGACCATATTCCTGGTCCTGTTAGATCAGATGTTCCTCAGTCTAGCAACATTCCTTCACTTAAATCAACAAGTGAAATTCCTATTGTGTCGTATAGCCCAAGAGTCGTCATTATCCCAGTTTCCGTTACTAGCACTTGTGCACCTACTGTGACCACAGTGGTTGCTTCTAGCACTGCAACAACCACAGTATTAACCATGACCATGGCATCTACCGTTGTCACTTCCACAACTTTTACAACTTCGATGTCAACTCCTACAACGAATTCCTCATCAGAGTCAACAAGATCGAACATTAAGCCAAAACCCTGTGCTGTGTCAAAGAAGGAACAATCTTCACAGTCTCAACTCCCGTCTAAAGACAAACATTGTGATAGTGGCAGGCAGTCAGCTGGTGTGAAGAAAGAGTCCCAGCTAACTTTTTCAGCAGGTTCAGTGAATTCTTCCAAGAAAGATAAAGATAGCAACTGCAGAGAACAAGAAATGAAGAACAATTCCAGCAGTAGTCATAAATCTAAGACTTCAGGTCATGTGGAAGAGAGGAGAGATAGGAAAGAAAGTGTTGGATCAGTGTGTGCTAGAAGGGATAGTGAGAAAGATGGGGAACCTAATGACAGGCTGAGGGAACGATTGGAAAGCACAGAAAAGGATAAAAGGAGGGATCGGGAGTCTGTGGAGTGTGCAGAGAGAGACAGAAGGAAAGACAGTCATTCTATGGATACAGAAAAGGAAAGGAGGAAAGACAGTATTGATAGTTTGGAAAAGGATAAACAGAAAGATGAATGTGTTGATAACCTGGACAGAAGAAAGGATGTGGAATTTAATGATAAAGATAGATGGAAAGATGGACATATAGAGAATGTTGACAAGGATAGGTGGAAAGATAGAGAAGAAAACCAGGAGAAGGACCGACAGAAAGAGAACCACATGACAGATAAGGATATAGAGTCTGCAGTTGACGCTGAAAAACGAATAGAGAATACCGAGAAACGCAGCAAGGAGCGCCGAAAAGAGCGTGGAAGCAGCAGTGGTTCACCAGCCAGCATAGGGTGTAAGCGACGAATGAGCTCTCAAGACAGTGTAGACAGTGTACCTGATGATGCGAAGCGCCTCAAGTTGGAGCATCACAAGATTGCAGAACGGCGGGACTCAAAGGACAGTGGGCGTAGCAGTGGAAGCAGTAAGCGCAGTAGCAGTGAGCGTCCACGAAGTCATGGCATTGCCAGCGCCAGCAGTGATACCAAGAGTTCTGCTAAGCTCTTGGAGGACAAAATTCGTGAAGACAGTAAACGTCAGCAGGGCAAAGATGATGCTGATCGCAAAAAGGAGAGTTGTGACAAGCACAAATCTAAAGACAAACAGAAGAGGAAGAACAAGTTAGACAGAGACAGCCCCAAGGAAATGAGAGACTTCGCTACCAAGTCTATAAAGGACCCAGCTCTTGACAAAGAGTTATCTCCCAAATCTGGTAAAAAGAAAGATGATAGTGACATTGAAGATAAGGAAGATGGGAAACATAAACATACCAAACGAGAGACAAAGGAAAAGAAGAAACAGGTGAAGGAAGAGTTTGGAAGTACTGAGTTTGTGGATGAGAAGGGGCGGGCAGCAAAGAAGGACAGGGACAAAAGGAACAGCAGTGAGCGGAGGAAGGACGAGAGCACAGGAAAGGATGATCAAAAGTTTACATCACAGAAGAAGGAAAGAAAGTCCCAGAAGAAGGAATTCAGTAATTCAGATTCAGACAGTGAAGATGGGAGTGGTGATGGACCCAAGAAACATTCCATATTTGATATTGTGGATGATGGCCCAGTGTACATCTCTATGTATGACAAGGTTAAAGCTCGTTCTACCAAGAACATGCAGAAGCAGGAGGAAGAGCGACGTCAGGGAATGATGAGAGAGAAGTTTGATATACTTAAGAAGAAGCGAGCCAAGCGAGAAGAGAAGAAACGATCTACTTCGTGGGATGAAGACTCTGATACAGACAATGATCAAGGTGGAAAGTGCAAGCGTCATGTGAAACTTATGATTAGCAGCTCCTCTGAGGATGATGGCCGTTTACGGTATGATGGCGATGAGCCCAAGTTGAATAAAATTAGACCTGTGGTGAGAATCAAGAAAGAAGATATCTGTACTGGAAAATCTGATTCTGATTCTGACATTCTTGGAAGAATTGGGAAAGAAGTGCGCAGATCTGGAGTTACTAATAAGCAGGATGGAAGTGAAGATGATGATAGTTCAGCTCGAATCAAACATCTTACAACATCTGGAAAAAGGGGAAACCGCTCTAAACTTATTTCTGATACATCTGAGGATGATAATACAATGGTCAGGTTTAAACCAAATGCACAAAAGATATCAGATTCATATTCAGTCGATAGTGACGCTGATCAGGGATTTGCTGACTCAGATGACAAACTATCTACCTCTAAAAAGTCTGCTACTAAGAATGATAGAATGGGAAAAGGTACAGCGGACTTCTCCAATGATGAAAATAACAAGAAGCTGATCTCAGATTTAACAAAAACAGGTTCAGATAAACAGTTAGGTGTGAAGAAATGTGGAAACAGAAACAAATTGCATAAAAATATGCTGGATTCCTCTGATGATGAGTATAATAGGAAGTTCTTGAGTGATGTGATCAAATCAGAGGCTTTCGGTGATGATAAGCAAGCCAGTTTGAAAAAATCATTTGTTAAAAACAGGGCACCCAAAGATTCGCTGGATTCTTCAGATGATGAAAGTTCCAGAAAATTGTCTGATGTATTGAAGACAGATAATTATGGAACTGATAAACAATCAAATTTAAAGAAATCATTTGTTAAAAATAAGTTCAAGAATACTGTGGATTCATCAGATGATGAAAATGTGAGAAAGCTGTTGAATGCTCCCAAGGGTGACATTTTTGGTGAAGAAAAACAATCCCTGTTCAGAAAATCTGTCCTGAAGAACAAGACAGCTAAATGTTTTCCAGATCATACCATAGAAGAGTGTGCAAAGAAATTTCTCTCAGATTCTGAAAAGGCAGATATATTTGGAGAAAACATTGAAATGGAAAAGTGTGTCATAACACAGTCAAAAACTACAGTGGCCTTGAGCAATTCTTCCGATTGTGAGGTTGCAACTTTTACACCGCCACCTCAGCTTGACCAGAAACCATCTTTCCATGGGAATTCTGTTGACAAGGGAAGTGATGTGTCCCGAAAGAAGTCACACAAAAAGAAGCAGAAGCGCCAAAAGAACTTGCAGCCTTGTGAAGATGGCCTTGAGAAAACAGTGTGTATAAAATCTGACTTAGTACTGGATAAACCTGAGGTAGATGATGGAAAGCCAAAAGCAGATGGTGAAAGGAAGAAGCATAAACGTGAACGACGAAAATCAACCCATAGTAAGAGCATAGATAGCGAAGATAGTAAACAGACAAAAGTTCGTAAGAAGAAAATTTCAAAGCCTGAGCTAGGTGTCCTGAAAGCAGAGAGTAGCCTCAAACGTGATGGAAAGATGGAAGATATCTTTGGTCCATTATCTGATGATTCAGAATGTGGGCATGTGAAAACCTCAGTGACACCTAACAATGGAGGTAGTGGTCACGTATATGACAAACTTCCAGGAAAGTGGCAGGTTTCCTTGGTGTATGGTTCAGATTCTGACTCAAATGCTTCACTTCTTGGTCCGCGCGTAGAGTGTTACACTCCAGCAGCAGCCATTATGTCACGTCCTAGTGAAAAGGAACGTAAGAGACGTGATAAAAAGAAACGAGACAAGAAGGCAAGCAATGTGGAGTTAGTAGAGGCAGGGCGGGCACTAGAAGCCAAGCTTCTTAGTTCTGATGATTACTCTGATCAGACACTGCCTAAGGCTCTTTTGTCATCAGGTAAAACAGAGAAAGATGAAGATGGTGTTCCCGTCAAGGAAGAGACAGGAAATAATGATGCTGACGTTTTTAGATTCACAGAAGGTGATGAAAGCTTAGAGGCTGCTACTGCTCTGTTACTTGAAAAAGCAAAGGAAAAGAAAAAGAAACGTAAGAAGTCGAAAGAAGAGAAACAAAGCAGAAGGGAGCATCACCACCACCATCATCATGACAAGTCAAAATCTTCTCCTGAGAGGAAGTTGAGTATAACAAGTTCTTTGGAGGATAGCAAACCATCTCCGTTGTTGTCACCATTGCTGCCCAGCTTGGAGATGCCAGTGAGCCCCCCTCTCAACAAACTTGCTGCAGATCTCACATCAAATGATGCACTGTCTAGATCACCTTCACACCATAATTCTGTTATTACTCCAGCTTCTACCACCACCAAGAGCATTGAAAAGAAAAAGCCAGATAAATTTATACCAGGATTTGGCACTGCAATTGATGACATCATCCATGAAACAGCAGTTAAAAGCATATCAGAATTTGAAGCCCCCAAACCTAAAATAGAACGTCTTGCAAAGGAAGAAATTAGTGGGAAAGCAGAACAAGGGGCACCAAAGAATGATGGGCTTGGTAATGAGGAAGAGAAGCCCCGAGCTGTCATATCACAAGAGGAGACAGAGGATGCAGTGGCGGCATTGCTAGGTGAGTCATTTGGAGCAGATTTTACTCCTGACTGTTATGTAGGAGAAGGACATGGTAGCCCACACAATACCACACATACAGGCACTGAACCTGCTCTGCCTACAGATGAAGAAGAAGAGACACTCAAGGCCATAGAGGCCATTGATATGAAACCTGACACACCACAGTCTGAACCTGACTTGCAGATTGATACAGACACAGATGGTGATCCAGAACCCAGTTATTCTGGCTTGCGATTCAGTGGAGATGACCATTCCCCTCGAACACCTGACGGGATAGATTTTTCACGCCCACCAAAGACTCCTGATATACCATCTTCTTATTACAGGCAGCAGCAGGGTGCTAAACCATTTGAGCAGGATTCCCTGCTAACCAAACCAAACCTTCAGCCTGAGCCATCACCGTCCATTGCCAAACAAATGTCTCCTGCAAGTGAATCTGTAGATGAGAAACCAGTGGAGCCCTTGGAGTATGAACAAGATCAATCGCCTACAGGTTCTCCAAGTCCTAGTCCATCCATATTACCTGACAGACCAGTTTCAGGAGAGGAACCAAAGTCTCAGTCAGAGCCTGAACCAGAAGTTGCTGCTTTGTCCAGTGACACTAGTGATAATCATGTTGGCCATGAACAGGAGGCAGATATTGTGCCAGACATTCATGTTCCAGTTGAGAGTGATGAGACGGCCATTCCTGTGCCACCTTGCATAACATTCAAGTCTGAGGAGGTGGCTGAAGCGAAAGACATTGATATTGCATCAGTCACACCAAAATATGATGGTATTGTACCAGCAGATGACAACCACAGAAAAACTAAATTGAAGGAAGAAGATAATACAGAAATAAGCCTTATGTGCCCTAAAGCTGAAGTTGAACTACAGCCAACACCATTGGAAGCTTCATCTTCAGAAATGGACCCACCATCTTCTCCTTGTCGCAGCCCTGTTATATCTAAATTAAGCCCTGTTCCTGTGTTAGCACCAAGTGAAATTTTAACAGAGACACCAGATACTGTGAAGAAAGAAATGGATGTGCCCCTGAAGGAGGAACTGAAATCCCAAGTAGACAATGGAGACTTTGGACCATATCAATTTGAAGATGATGTAGCAAGTAAAGAGATTCCCACAGATTCTGGTTACAAGCACATGAAAGATTGTGACATGACAGCATTCAAAAGCACTGAAAGTGGCACACGTCAAGACAAGAGCTATATTTCTTCTACAAAAGAAGACAGTGGCTTTGTTTCTGTTATCAAGGAAGAGCATGCTAGTGATATTGCTAGAGAATCTGACTTTTCAGAACCTGAAGTGGACATGAAGACTGATAACGACTTTGTAACAAATCTGCTAGCATCAGACTCGATGACTCAATCACTCTATATTGATGAAAATAGCACAACTGCATTGGAGGCTCACACTGATGGTGGTTACAGTCCGTTCAAGGAGCGAGAGATGGATGTGGTATCAGTTATCAAGGAGCCAGACAACAGATTTAAGACTGAGGAAGAACAAGACCCATTTGCTTCCCCAAGACCCATGTCTCCAACTTGTAAAGAGAGCTACGAAGATCTGGCAGTTCATAAAGATAATAAGGTGGATGACAAGAATGACCTCGCCGATGCTATTAAAGTTGATGCAGACTTCTGGTCTGCTAAGGAAGTAAATATTGAGTCTGTAATAAAGAAGGTGGATGCACTGTGTTCTAGTGATGAGATGAATTCGCAGAGGGATTTGCCAGCCAATGTGAATGAGAATGGAGTTAAGCTTTGGTTTGATCAACTGAAGGAGAAATCTGTTGAGCCTTCAGCTCCTGAAGAGACAAAGAAGGAGCAAGAGTCTGTAGATGAAATGTTTGTAAACCTGCAATCACAAGTTGTTCCAGTCAAAGAAGAAGCAAAACCAAGTGCTAAAGATATTCATGAAACCAAGGAAAAGGATGAGCTCAAAGCATGTGAAGAACAAGAACAAAGTATTATAATCAAATCACCAACCAAAGAGCTGGATAACGATACAGCATTGTCCACATCACCTGATGATAAGGATGAGCCTCTTTTGTCTTCATCATCCCCTGAAAGAGATCAAGTAGTATCTTCAGCAGAAGATGAAACACAGGACACAAGCACTGATGTACAGAGCCCAGTGAGTGGACAAACTACTCCACGTTCTACTTCCCGTGGAGGAAGAGGTGGTCTACGCGGCAAGACACAGACTCGAATAACTGGTGTTACAACACGCAGATCCAGGCTTGTTGGGGGTCAGAAACCTGCAGTTGAAGGTGTTGCTATCACCCCTGTTTCCCCCAGGAGGGGTGGAAGGAGAAGCAGAGGAAGTGGTAATAAAGCATCGCTTCAAGATCATAGTTCCTCTCCTGCCAACAAGAAGATTACAACTGATGTGTATGAGTTTCGTGATGACTCTGAGGATGAAGGCAGCAACAGTGGAGAGAAAGGTCGACCACGGTTGATACTTACCATCAAGAGTCCTCAAGCCAGTGTATGTGCCAGCAATGTTGGGGGAAAGGAGGTCCAGGTTGCTACCAAGACAGCGCCAGTGCCAATACCAATAGTTGAGATGAGAGAGGAGTTCCCATCTCTGGCAACTCGTAAATCTCGGCGTCTTCAAGAGCGAGACGGATCTCGAAGTACTGTGGATGATGTGATAGAGGATGTTGTACGTAGTGCAGGGAAGGTTACTCGTTCTGCCACAGCTGCTGCACCTGCTGCTGTTAATGCTGCAGGTATAGGTTTAAGACTGAGGCGCTCAACAAGGCAGAATATCGCCAATCAGAGGGCAACTGTTGTAGTACCTGAGCAGCCAAGGAAGTCACCTCGTGGTGTCAAGAAACAACAAATCCAGCAGCGCAGGTTGTCAGAAACCCATGAAGAATCAAGTGAGGAGAAGAAGAAACAGACAGATGGTGAAACAGTGGCTGTCAAAACACCAGAATCTCCTGCTCTTGACAAAGACACAGAGAATAATTCATCAAAGTCACCAGATTCTTTTGCAGCTTCTGACAAGACAAGTAAGTCTGAGAAAGATGAATCTGCAACCTGTACAGTTTCTAAACCAGCAAAGCCTAGTGTTGAAGAAGATGATGGTGAACCCACAACTTTAATAGATCCTGTAACTGGGTTACTGATTCCAATGCGAGAATCTGAAGAGGGACAGTATATTCCAGTGACGACAGCTCCTGTCATTATTCCTATTCCATCAGCACCTCAAATTACAACCAGGTCTCTTTCAGAATCCCAGGAATTGCCTACCATCGTAGCAGAATCAGATAAAATAAGGGTGCGTGCTCACAGTCTGCCAACAATACCAACTGCATCAACAGGTTTCCAGCAGCCTCCTGCTCATGATGGGGTGCCAGCAGTTAGTGTGACACAACAAAGCCATGTACCAGTCATCTCAAATTCTGTACCAAAGCCACTGTCCACTGCATCAGTTACAGCCCCTCCTGGGCCATCTGTTGTGGGACTAAGACCAGTTGGCATCTGCAAGCTAGGTGTCCAGACACCAGCATCCAGTACCAAATCTGTGCCAACCACACTGAAAGCTCATGTTTTGCAACAGACCACCAAAACTGCTCCATCACAGTCGGTGAGTACCGCAACAAAAATTGTGCAGTCAATTCTGCCACCATTGCCGCCCTCAGCTACATCTGCAGCTCCACCTTCTGTCCTGCCACAGTCTTCAGCATTGAAAGTGCATACTGTTGCCCAGCCAGTAATCAAGACCCAAGCTATATCGACTACAGCACCAGTGTCACATTCTAAGACTCGAGAAGTGGTAGTCCACCAGTCACAATCACAACCATCTTCTGTAGGTGTGGCAAAGAGCATACAGTCGGTAGTTCCCATCAATCCAAAAGCACATTTACTTCAGGCAGTGACAGGAACTAAGTCTCCTGGAGGACAGACAGTTGTGGTGGCTCCTGGACAGGGGCAGATGCCTGTGGTGAGTAAGATCCATCATGTGAGTGGTCCCCAACCACCACAATCCCAACACATAGCAGTGAACATGAAAGCCTCATCACCAGGAGCCCTTACACCTAAAGCCCACTTACTGCAGGCTGTCACGGGTGGTCCGCCCAAGACTGGGTCCAATTTTGTGCCTCAGCAGAAGTCACCTCATTCAGCGCTTATGAGTGTAGGGGGCAGTAAAGTTCCTACATCTAGTCCTCCCCAGCCTCCTAAGGCACATCATGGTCCAGCGCAGCAGCCCATCTTAACCGGAGCAGTAGCCAGTCCACCACTGAAGGCACCACACCTCTCTAGCCAGCAGCCAGTCGTTACTGGGGCCAGTAGTTCACGAGCTGCCGTGCCAAAGTCTCAGGTAGGCTTCCCTTCAGTGTCACCTGTTAATTAAGGAGAATTCAGTTCAATATCACTTCATACATTTCACCACAGAGAACATGGTCATAAGATGATACAAAGTGGTAATCTTAGGAGATACATCCTGTGGTTTGCAGTTTACAGGGTAACACAATTGTTCAATCACATGATTAAGTTGGGCACAAACAACTTACATATGTTCGTATTTTGCAGTGGTTATATTTTGTGGCGTATAAGGCTTCCTTTCCCTCAGAAATGGCCGTAAAAATCGCATTACATCTTTTACACGGGTACACCTTTTACATCAAGAAGTGATCATGGACAGTTATAGTGAAAATGATGGTGGTGAAAGTGAAATAAATTGAAGATAACTTAACATGTGGGAATTTTCTTTTATGCTATATATTTACATGTTCCCTTGAACATGTCTGCTTTTTTTAAATTTGATTTTGTTCAATAATAAAGCAGACTTGTTTACTTTCATAAAAGATCACTTGTTATTAATAAATAATGTGTATAGTTTACTAGGAAAAGGAGTTTAATTTGTTTTTAGAAAACTGTAGTTTTCTTAATTATCCCTCCTAACCATTATGGGTCTTATACACCTGGTTGTAATTCAGTTTATATTACAGTTATTATCCTATACAGCTATTTGTATTTGTGATTGCACTGTATCAAAAAGGTAGCCGGGATAGCTCAGTCAATATAGTGACTAGCTACGGGCTGGGCGACTGGGATTCAATCCCCGACGGGCAGAGGATTTTCCCTCTAGCTTCTGTGTCCAGATCGGCTCTGGGGCCCACCCAACCTCCTATCCAATGGGTACCGGGATCCTTTCCCTGGGGGTAAAGTGCGGTCGGGGCATGTTGCTGACCACTCACCCCTATCTAGTGCTGAGGTCAAGAAAGAGTAGGAGCTATACCTCCACTCCCCCCAAATGACGTACATGGTGAATAGCAGGATGGCTTTACTTTTTGCTTTTTATGTTTACTTTAACATAAATGAGTGATTTTATTTTTGCAGCTGCCAAATGTGGCTAGTCCCCATCTCTCACAGCATAACAAGGGCTTGATGGACCCTCCTAAAGTGGATGTGTCACTTGGGGGCTGTATTGTGGTTCCCACTGCCAGTCCACAGCCTCGTGGTCAGGTTTTGCAAGCTGGGTTGCCTGTACCAGCATATGAAGCTTCATTGGTAAGCGCAGAGTGCTTTAACATCAGATTCTTCTTTGACTTTTCTTTTCTCTGCAAACTTGTACCCTTGCAAATTGGTATTAGTGCATACAAATACATAATAACATTTAGATGATTGTTTTATAATTAACATAGTAATAGTTCTCTCTATTTCTTATTATAAGCAGATTAACATAGATGTCATAACCGTATACCAGGAGCGGACTAATTTTTGGGTTCCTTAAATGTAGGGTGATCGATCATGTATCAGTGAGACATTTCCATTTCATGATTATGTATTTTATAATAGTCTACTTACTTATTTACTTACTTACTTCCAAACTTCTGCTTTGAAATAAAAGTTATGATTGTTTAGTGTAGAAAACATAATGCAAGAGTAGGTGTTTGGTATGGAAACTATTAATTACAAAGAAACATGACTGATGCCACTGCACATGGAATTAACATACCAAACCACTCACCACATAGTACTCAGAAATCCAATCAATTGGCATGGTTACCATCATTATCAACGTGTGATTACGTTTGTTGCCAAGTGTGAAGGGAGGCCTATCAGAGCATTACTGGTGTAATGGTCCTGAAGATACACCTTTTAACTCAGCACCAGAGTCCATGTTAATTGTACTCTGCTGTTCTTTCACAAATGACCAGAGCCAGTTGTCGCATAAGGTCAGGTTGGGACTTCTGGGAAGCCAGGTGAGAGGTCCATGTCATCCAGTCCACAGAGGAAATTGTTCAGGAGAGCGTACACATCAGCTGTGTAATGGACTGGTGTCCCATCTTGTTCCAAAGTTATACCATGCAGAAGGCCCACATTATGAAGTTCTGGAATTAGCCATTGGGACAATGGCTGCACATAATTTTTATTAGTTACAGACACATTAAAAGAAATATGATCAAATCAGTTCACTATACACTGAAATGCATATAACATTTAGTTCATCTGTAGAGTTTATTCAAATTGTCATTGCTCTCCTAGCTCTATAGCTCTCAGGAAGGTGAGACAATTTTTATCTTTTCCAGAAGTTTACTTTTAATTTGTTATTGTAGTGGGATAATTTCTAGTTTGTTCAATTTCTGACATGTCATCTACCAAGAAATAAATGACCCAGAAAATTTTAAAAGGTGGCATGGTGCTAAAAGGAGTTTTCTGTGATCATCTTCCTACATATATTCATAAATTTGTGTAGAAATGCATCTTTTGCTCCTTTCACTCCATAGTGTTCAATATAGAATTAAATAAGAATTCAGTCATTGTCTTGTGTACAGATCAAATCAATTTAAGATTCTTTGTGCATTTTGTGCTGTGTGTGAATCCAAAAAGAAACATCTCAGTGTGTCATTTGTTCTTTTGTCTTATATGATTAAGCTAAACATGGTTGAAAGCTTCATATTATCCGAGGAGTGTCAACCAGTAATCATTAGGTAGTACTAAAAAGTCTGTTTGAAATAACATTTTAACTGTAAATAAGGAAAAATCATTCCTACATGCCATTTTTGTTTTCATCAGTTTTTTCCTGTTGGAAATATCAGTAGCCGCCCTTCAGATGCATGAGCTATATTCCATTCTTTTATTACATTTTGTTCCTTTCTGTATTTAGATTGTACATGTTTCTGTTTCACAATCTTTTAAGACATCTGTGTTATGTTTTATTTGTTGACAGCTGTATGCTTTCATTATTTTTGTAAATAGTATTTTTGGCGAGAATTCAGGGATTTACGTTTCTGTGCAAGTGACATAGCTGATACATAAAGTTATACATGCTGTTGAAGAATTTTGAGAAGTGGTTTTTGATTATCATTTAGAAATTGTGATCCTGAATTTATGCTCTGCTTTTTTAAATAGTGGTGAATGCACTGAAAATTTATTTTATTTACCATTGTTATTTATGAAAATTTTTAAAGAATTAAAATTATTCATTTTTATACTTTCACATGGTCCTATTGAAATAGGGTCTATAGTTGCTTTCTTTCTTACAAGTGAAGTAATGCGGACTCTGTAGGTTATGTTCTTTAATTAAGGGTAACCCATTTTAGCTAACAACCCATAATTCCTTTCTGTTTATAGGTTATGTCTTTGGTCTTGTTATTATATATCTTCTCCTTAATCAAATAATACTCAGTTGGAAAGGTATTTGGTTGTTTTATTTATTACTGTAGTAAATGCCCTCTTTGGATTGTGGTCTTCAGGGTTGTGATGCCATCTAATCTTGTAGGTGATTGCCAACATTTTCAAGGGACGTATGACCTCCATGTTTACAGTTGCAGTGTTCCTGTGACAAACTGGTAACCACTTACAAGTCTGCACAATGTCATAACCCAGAACTGTACAGGCTGAATTCTAACCATGAAAATCTCAAATGTCTTCAGTTTTCCAGGTTTCAGTTTTCAGATGTTGGTATTATTGGATTTTTGTACTTTGTCCATTATTTTTAAAAGAAGAGCATTTTGGAAACTGGATCTGTTTCCATACTCTGAAAAAGTGGGGAGTGACTGCCATTTTACCTGAGGATAGGAACATCCTGTTTCAGATATGTTGTTAGATTATTGTGTGATGGATAGAGTACAGAAATTCAATAATACAAATTCAAATACCGTGCTTTCTCTTTGGTCCCTTTCCTCAATGTTTACAAAATTCACCCTCCATAAACAAATCCTTTGTGTTCAGTAAGAAGGACTGAAATCAAATGTGATTTGTACTGACTTTAGGCCCTTCGTGTTCAGCACTAAAGAATTTGGAATGTAGAGTATTGCAGATGGCTAACTCACTGTTGCATTCAAGTTTTATGCTTTATTATGGAAGTATGTTATGCTCAATTAAAAGGCAGAATTTGCTACGTTTCCATCCAGTGCTTGAAATATAAAAAAAAACAATGTGAAAATTCAAAATACCAGTTACTACCACAATAGATTGCAGAAACAACAAAAATAATTTCAGGAAACTGTAATTGCTCAACACCTAATGTTTTTTTAAAAAAATAAACAAGCAAAAATGGCATTTTATTTCATCCGTAGTGTTTTGTGTTTATCACTGATACCACCTGTGGTATTTTATGTAGCATCAGAATTCCTGATACCGTAATTTTCATGTATGTTCTGCATGTTGACATCAAGATTAATACCCGAGAAAGTGATTCTGTATGCTTACAGTAACATCTGCATTGTTGTGTATTAGCCTCAGATAATCAGTAGTAGTGCATATGTGATGTTATACATTGCTGGTTTATTAATTTTAATATTGGTGTAATAGTGAACTGAAGTGCTAGGATAATAACAGTTGGCATTTAAACTGTGTTGTAGGCATCAACACAAATATGTACATTTATATAAATACAAAGACAGTGAAATCTCTCACAATACACATTCACTCGTATACCAGTTTTTTTACCATTGTCACACCTGATAAAATTTTTATGTGATAGCTAATGTAAGCCACACATTTGGCTTACATGTGTGTGAAAATATGTTTCATGCAAGCAGGGCATGAGCTTTCTGAAGATTTGTAAGATTTGAGGTTTTCACAGCAGTCAGTATGAAGATTTCTGTCTTCTGGGTTGTTGCGCTGTGTAGTCTGGTAGATGTTTACCAACGTTTCAGAGGTCATACTGCCTCCGTCATCAGGGCGATGAATATTCAGTATGACCTCTGAAACGTTGGTTAACATCGACCAGACTACACAGCGCAACAACCCAGAAAACAGAAATCTTCTGAAGATTTGTTCAAGGGGTGTTTTACAAGTTAAAATTCCCCCACCAAATTTCTGTGACCACAAGAAAATACTACATTCTCTGACAAAAATATACTCAGAAAAGAAACATTTTGTGATGACAAGACTAACATCAACAGTCTAATTACTCTGTGCATTATATTGGATCTTTGTTTTAATTTAATTTTACAAATGAAATTGTAGGTATGGTACTCGTGCTGAGATAGAATGTCGTATATGATCAGAACCATTGGAACGTGTCATGCTATAGTGTGCAGTAATTAGTATTTTCAGATGGTTTGCACTGAATTTGTATCTAGCCTTTCAGAAAATACTCAGGAAGTCTTATGAAAGCTGATAAATTTGCAGCTTTTATTTCAAACCAGTTATTGTGACTGAAGATCTTGAGATTTGCAAATTTTCATTTAACCCGTTAATTATGAGGTACAGGTGGGTCTGTGAGAGAGGTTTCACTGAATGCATTATGGGTGTGTGTGCGTGTGCTAACTCTGGGTTGTGTGTGGCAGCAGCATGCAGGCTCTGGTGGGGTGGTGGCGGAATTACTTCCGAATCCTCAGTTTGTGCTGGCACAGAGGCAGCAGTCCCCCCCGCCCGCACACCAACAGGTAACTTCTTCCCGAAGCTTGCTGTAGTTCTTGCTTACTAACTTTCGTTTTTCGTGTTTGCTTTGTAACATTTGTCTGTCATTTATTTGTACTGATACATTGTATTTTTGTGTAGTTTTCCTAGTCTCAACTTATTTTTGTTCCAAACATGTTTTTGAAATAGTGGTTGGAAGTGTGATAGAAGTTTAAAAGAGAAAGTTTTTTTTTTTTTTTTAAACTGGCAGATCTTTTCAGTGGATGCAGTTGGATTTTACATGAATGTAAGGTACGAACTTGTGTATCCATGTACTTCAAAACTGATCACATACAATTACCATTGGTTATTTGTTATATGCTTTCAGATTCATGCTTTATTATAATTCCATTTGGAAAAGAAATATTTTTCAGGGCCAATCTCCAGGTCTAGAGAGCTTGTTTGCATACCGTCTTTCTTATTTTGAAGCAAAAATTAAAATTTGCTGTTGTGCCATCAGTATAACAAAACAGACATTATTTAGTTTTTATATGTTATGAAGAATTTACAGAACAGTTTTAAAGCAATCGTCCACCACCTTCTTGAGGACACACAAACACTTCCTGTGCCCTGAAATGTTGGAACCAGTCATTGTATTGTCTTATTCAGTACTTCCATGTCAGGATACACATTGCTAAGCGCTTCACGAACAGCAGTAGATGATTTGGATGTAAAATAATGTTTGATTGAACATGTGCTTCTGAATACACCATGTTCACATCTGCACAGCTTATATGCAGCTGGCATGAACAACAACTTAGCAAACAGGGTTTGTGTGTCAGGGGGAAAGTTGTCAGATTATTACACGGGGGTGGGCCTGCTTCTGATTTCGTTTTTGTACTGTATTACGTGATTGTTGCATTTTAAATGGTACACCCTATAAATGTTTTATTGTGGGTCTGGTAGATGTTTACCAACGTTTCAGAGGTCATACTGCCTCCGTCATCAGGGCGATGAATATTCAGTATGACCTCTGAAACGTTGGTTAACATCGACCAGACTACACAGCGCAACAACCCAGAAAACAGAAATCTTCTGAAGATTTGTTCAAGGGGTGTTTTACAAGTTAAAATTCCCCCACCAAATTTCTGTGACCACAAGAAAATACTACATTCTCTGACAAAAATATACTCAGAAAAGAAACATTTTGTGATGACAAGACTAACATCAACAGTCTAATTACTCTGTGCATTATATTGGATCTTTGTTTTAATTTAATTTTACAAATGAAATTGTAGGTATGGTACTCGTGCTGAGATAGAATGTCGTATATGATCAGAACCATTGGAACGTGTCATGCTATAGTGTGCAGTAATTAGTATTTTCAGATGGTTTGCACTGAATTTGTATCTAGCCTTTCAGAAAATACTCAGGAAGTCTTATGAAAGCTGATAAATTTGCAGCTTTTATTTCAAACCAGTTATTGTGACTGAAGATCTTGAGATTTGCAAATTTTCATTTAACCCGTTAATTATGAGGTACAGGTGGGTCTGTGAGAGAGGTTTCACTGAATGCATTATGGGTGTGTGTGCGTGTGCTAACTCTGGGTTGTGTGTGGCAGCAGCATGCAGGCTCTGGTGGGGTGGTGGCGGAATTACTTCCGAATCCTCAGTTTGTGCTGGCACAGAGGCAGCAGTCCCCCCCGCCCGCACACCAACAGGTAACTTCTTCCCGAAGCTTGCTGTAGTTCTTGCTTACTAACTTTCGTTTTTCGTGTTTGCTTTGTAACATTTGTCTGTCATTTATTTGTACTGATACATTGTATTTTTGTGTAGTTTTCCTAGTCTCAACTTATTTTTGTTCCAAACATGTTTTTGAAATAGTGGTTGGAAGTGTGATAGAAGTTTAAAAGAGAAAGTTTTTTTTTTTTTTTTAAACTGGCAGATCTTTTCAGTGGATGCAGTTGGATTTTACATGAATGTAAGGTACGAACTTGTGTATCCATGTACTTCAAAACTGATCACATACAATTACCATTGGTTATTTGTTATATGCTTTCAGATTCATGCTTTATTATAATTCCATTTGGAAAAGAAATATTTTTCAGGGCCAATCTCCAGGTCTAGAGAGCTTGTTTGCATACCGTCTTTCTTATTTTGAAGCAAAAATTAAAATTTGCTGTTGTGCCATCAGTATAACAAAACAGACATTATTTAGTTTTTATATGTTATGAAGAATTTACAGAACAGTTTTAAAGCAATCGTCCACCACCTTCTTGAGGACACACAAACACTTCCTGTGCCCTGAAATGTTGGAACCAGTCATTGTATTGTCTTATTCAGTACTTCCATGTCAGGATACACATTGCTAAGCGCTTCACGAACAGCAGTAGATGATTTGGATGTAAAATAATGTTTGATTGAACATGTGCTTCTGAATACACCATGTTCACATCTGCACAGCTTATATGCAGCTGGCATGAACAACAACTTAGCAAACAGGGTTTGTGTGTCAGGGGGAAAGTTGTCAGATTATTACACGGGGGTGGGCCTGCTTCTGATTTCGTTTTTGTACTGTATTACGTGATTGTTGCATTTTAAATGGTACACCCTATAAATGTTTTATTGTGGAGAGGGAAATTTTAAAGTACTATGCGTAAAATGATATAAACAAACTTCTACTATATTTTATTTTTTATATGTGTGTTTTTAATTCTAAGATTCTTCCCCATTATGTGTTAAATTGTTACATGATATAGTTAGCCCGCATTATGCACATAGTTTTTATATGTAAAGGTAAGGCAGGCTAGAAAACACAACCACTTGAAGGTCTGGGACTAATTTGAGCTAATTGAACACATTTCTCAGAATAAAATATATAAAACCAATAAGAAATTATGAAGTGTTTGAGTTCTCTGGAACTTCTTATATAAATTTATATTGCACCATATTTATTAGCAGACTAAGTTGACCTGAATGGCTGACAAATTACATTTCCTCACCATTGGGCTGTGCACAGGAAACAAGGTGTACTGTAATATATTCTTGTTTATGGTGCACTGCTGTGACTGAAGAAGTTCAGATGTGGATAATTATTTTTCTTTGTTATGTCATCTCATGTATTTTACTTTTCTATGATGAGTCTTCTTCTTTCCTGCCTTACTTTGGATTTCTGGAATATCTATTTCATTCTTCAGATGTGATGTCATGTTACATGCTGATCTGTCTGATGATGTCTTGCATTACTCGTAGGGAGAGGTGGTGCAGCATGTGAGCTTCCCACATCATATGCGCAACCCACCACATGACTTGGCACCTCATTATGTTCATCCTCAGATCATGTATCAGCAGTATCTGCGCGCACACCAAGAGGCTCTGACAGCTCACATACCTCACTATTTGTCTCAAGGTGACTTTACTAACTAGTAATATTCACAAGTTGAAAAATGTATTAATGAGAGAAATTCTTTAATGTAATTTGTAAATTATTTTGTATGTTGCTATTTTTAAAAGTCAAGTTAGAAGCAGCAATTAATTACCTTTGTGCACAACTAAGTAATATAAAATATTTATTTTACTTGATACTGTCATGTTTTAATACTGTTTTCTATGTCAGTTTTGCATATGCATGAATACGTCCTTCCAAAAGTGGTCATATTTTCCTTTTTTTCCTGTTGCCAATTGCATAAGTGTATATATCTGTAATTTTCAGTATTAACTAAACAATTTTGATAATAGCCGCAAGATTGTTTATGTGTGTCAGAGTATGCAGAATATGAAATTGTACTTCCACTTTAGGAATTTTATACTATTGCTGATATAAAAAGTAAAAACTTGCCAGAAATTTAGAAATGGCTACTTTTTGAAATATCTTAAAACAGCTTTTGAAACACAAGTCCACTGTACAATCCAGACATCATCATTTGTACTCATTTGTTTTTGGAAGTTGATATTACTTTTGTTTCTAGAATACTGTTGTATGATTATTTTATTGTATATCAAGCAGTTATGGATTCAGAACCTTTAATGTTTATTATATGTATGGTGCAAGAGAAAATACTGTACTCTTCACCTAATTTAACATTGCTTTAAACAACTTTGAAGATTAATGGTTGAAACTGAATTTTTTTTCTGATGCCATTGACTTGTTTGAAATATAGTGAAAAGTGTTCTTTTCTCCACCCATTATGAGTACTTTGCAAACTGTTGTACTGACATGGGTAATCAAATATTTATACAGAATGAATGTACATCCAACTTGCAAAGTTGCTGGTCATCAGATTGATGATGTTGCAATATCCAAATTTGAAATTCTGTGGTTTCAGGGGCTGTACGATCACCATTGGTAGCAGGATTGGAGGTGAAATCTGAGCCTGACTCAGATGAGGCACATGGTAGCAGCCCACCATTGGAGCTTCGCAGACCATCTAGCAATGGGGCTGTGGCACGTGGAGCAGGCACAGCAGTCCACAGCTTGCAGTCACCACACGATCGTACCACTGACTCACCGCAGGTGGCCACTGTTTATGTTCATGCCGCATCACGTCTCCCTCATTATACACCCCCACAGCAACCTCCACCACGCTATTATGAACCTGGAGCAGAACCTCCACCAGCGCATCTCCGTACATCACGCCACCACCACCCATTGCCTGGTACTGAGGCACCGGCCATGCAGCCTCGCCTACAGGTGGCTACGCCTCCTCATGCCAGCCAAGTACCGCCACAAGCAGACTCTCTACTTACGCTTCTGCAGGTAACATGAAATGTTATGTATGTTCCTCTCCTAGAGCTTATATTCAAAACTTATGCACTTAAGGTTTAGTTTAATTGATTTGCAGGTTGTTGTTTTTTATTTCTTATAGTATATTTATAAACATTTCAACCTTTTGCTTAATGGAAAGGCAGAGATTAAGGATTGTATTGTCAGTACGACTAAACCAGAGGCTCTGTTTTTAATCTTGAATACATTCTTAAACTTAAAATACAAGGAAGTCTGTTTTTATATTAATATTAAAATTGTTTCACTGGTGTTGAGTTAGCAGGACCATATGATTAACCCATTTCACATTTGATTGCAGAGTTTGTAGCATAATTCAAATGGGCTTTGGTTTAGATCTTTGAAAATGTTATCAAGTGCTTAACTACCCAGTTACACGACTGTGAGTATGTGATATTACAGTATTATTTCTTTCTCACTCACTGCCATAAGATATTATGCCCGTTTCTCGTGTAGTCTCTCCACTTCATTTTTTTGCTTACCTTCCTTGTGGTTTTAATTCCAGGCAAGTTTGGGGATTATATCATGTCATCCTGTTGGGCCATTCCAAATCATTGTAATTTCTTTTTAATTACTTTATTTTATGATTTTTGCTTTTGGAATTGAAAGGTGTGATATGCGGATGGTTCTCGTGTTCTAGCGTTACCCAGTCATGTGGCAAGGCCTGTTGGCTCTGAAGAATGACCAAGCTGCTGTCCAAATGCACTTTGTGTTTGGTAATCCACATGTTGCACGTGAATCCCTTCCCTGCAACTCAGATGGCAGTACACCACCTCTGCGTATTGCTCAACGGATGAGACTTGAACAGACGCAAGTCGACGGTGTTGCAAGGAAGATGCAGGTGAGTGGAGACATTTTTATTATCCAGTGCAGGGAAGTGCTTATATAAAAATACTGCTTTCTTTCTTAACATTGATACATGAATTGGTTTACTTTCTTGTTAACAGATGGACAATGAGCACTGCATGTTGCTTGCCTTGCCCTGTGGCCGAGATCACCTGGACGTTCTGCAGCAGTCGAACAACCTGCAGACAGGATTCATAACGTATCTTCAACAGAAACAGGCAGCAGGCATTGTCAATATTGCTGCACCAGGCTGTCAACATGTAGGTATCCCTATCACTGTATCTCAAGATTAGCGTTTCTTATCTTCTGCAGGAAGTGATCCTGCTTTTAAATGCAGTCAGTGACTAGAACTTTAAGCCCTACTAACGCACAGTTATTTTGAAAGATAGTTGGCAGAGTTTAAGGTTGCTTGTGATGTTTAATGTTACGTGTCACGTGAACAGGAATTGGGATATTATACGCATTTGTATTTGCCCAAATTTAATGTTGAAAGGTCAAATTAAAGTTTGTTTATGCGTCAGTCATACTAAGTTTAATGAATAGTTTTCAAGGTACAGGATGCAACTACTGAAGTATTAAACATATTGAAAATCTCATTAACATTTTTACACATCACTTTTACAAGGTTTATTGTAAAGTTTGTTTCTGGAAATGTGCTAAGCTAACCATTCATCTTTACTTAAATTTGGATTTTATTCAGACTTCCTAATTGCAGTTGTATTTTTCATTATTGTTATAACATAAATGACAGCAATTTAAATTTTGAAGATTTCTGTCTTCTGGGTTGTTGCGCTGTGTAGTCTGGTCGATGTTAACCAACATTTCAGAGGTCATACTGCCTCCGGCATTGGGGTGGTGACTCATTGCCCTGATGATTGAGGCAGCAAGGACCTCTGAAATGTTGGTAAATTTCAACCAGTCTACACATCACTACAACCCAGAATACAGCTATCTTTCTACTCAGCACTGTGAGAACTTCAAATCCTATGAATACCAGGAGGTTTCAATTCTTCTTCTTCTTCTTCTATGGCTCTCCGGTCCGTATTCGGTCCATGGCCTCCTCAATTCTCCTCTTCCATTCGGTCCTCAAGCCCCACGACCGCGACAAGGTGCAGGTACCATTAAGTGGGGGGTTTCAATTTTTACTTTTATAGAAAGTGATCAATTTTCAGCTGTGACAATGCTGACCAAGAACTACATGCACTGAAAGAAACTGTGAGACATAACAATTGTTGGCTAGATGGGGGCACTGGTTTTATGGTCAATGCACACCATAAGGTCAAGAATTCCTTTACACTGTTATATGGTTATAATAATTTAAGCATAAAAAACAGATATATTCCATAAGATTGTATACATGTTAACAACATTATCACAGCAGTGATTATAATAATTTATGCATAATAGTCAGTCATAATAATGCCATTCTTACACTTAATTTTGATATGTTAATGATAATGGGGGCATTTAATTTTGATGTGTTTGACTATGTTAGCAAGGCTGAAGCTGTAAATACATATAAGCATATATTTAAAATTATGGTTTTCAGAAAGAAAGAAAAAAACTGTTAATGTAACCGTAATTTGTTCATTATAGGCTGCATATGTGGTGCACATCTTTCCATCATGTGACTTTGCCAACGAGAACTTGGAACGCATTGCACCTGACCTATTGCACAGAGTGGCAGACATTGCACACCTGCTCATCATCATAGCCACTGTGTGAAGCACTCATCATCGGCGATATCGGCAATCACGTGAAGAGGGAATGTTTATTATAGCTTTCCTACAAAATTAATTTTGGCTAAATTCCTTGTAATTTCTCTTTCCTCGTAAGTAATAGATGCTATGTGTAACTGAAGTATGATTTTCTGCATACACGCCTGAGAGGAGAGAAAGCTAGTGTCATCACATGGGGCATACTTTTCTAAAGTTAAATTGTCAAAATGTTATAGAAAGAATTACGCACTTTCAGACATGTCTGAACCATTCGTTACATATGTGTGCTGTATCTAAAATGAGAAGGCGATCAATTTAAAAGGAGTTGAGGTTAAGTGACCGCTTAATCACATTCAATGTAATGTGGATTTATGAAGTGACCAGCAGCCACAAGCTGCGACGTGACCATGTATTGCTTGTAAAGTACAAGTTTGGTATGACCTGAAAGAAATTCATCTACTTAATAAGACGTCTCACAAAAAGTGAGAAACCACCGATAGAGGAACTGACAGACTTTTCATAATTAAACGTGGCATTCATTTTAACAGCATACTACAAATACTAATATGATGGATCTTGTACACCTGTATTATGTTCAAAATGACGTGGAACGTGACTGGTTCCATTAGTGGCGTTCTATGAAACATGTCGATAATATGTAAATTGGATGTGAATTTTTAATCGTCCCAACCCTCCTGTAGCTATACGAGCGACTCTAAGCGAATGTTTTGTTTACTTGATGTACAGTTCTGTAATTATAACAATTGTAAAATTCTTGTTGCATCTTCATAACTCTGGACTGATCTACTCATTGCATTCATCATCATTAATTTTAAAATCACCTCACCAATGTATATTTTGTACATAAACATAATAATCATTGTGTATTGTTGTTTGAATTTTAGTCCAGGTACCTATTATAAATACATACGATGCAGTATAAATATATGTATATATAAAGATTAAGGCTCATCGTAATATTCATAGATGATTGTAGTTGTAAGTAGTATCCAGATGTTTAGATAATAGATGCACAGTTCACTGTCATTCCTACTAAATTGTCAATGCATTTCTTGGTATTAGCTGTTCTCCCCTTTGCAGTCAGAATGCGTGCAATTAGTTGTTTATTATTACTTGGCTTGGAAAATGTGATGATAATGTATCATCAAATATCTTACATTCTAGAAGGTAGTAGTCTTTACTTTTTCTTTTTAAATTTAGATTGTCAGTAATGGTGAAAAAGTGTTTTTCAATGTCAGTTTGCTCAAAACGTCATCCCAGATTCTATTTTCACTTTTTATTGTGTAAAAGTGAGTAAATCATTATCATATATTTTTTGATGTGTACAAAAAGAAAAGGAGAACTGGACACAATGCTCGCTCGCATGTTTGGATTTGCAGCCAACTGAGTTCCCCAGATCGTGACAGGAAACAAAACTTGTAAATATTTCAGAGACTATCTTAGGCTGTGATCTCTCTGCATTAAGTTACTGAATTTAATTTGATAAAAAGATCGTCCAGTGATTTAAGTTATTTAATGAATGAAAATATAAAGTGTTAATAAAAATAAATGGAAATTCCTCCCCTTAGTTTTTCCCTTTAGTAATATCACCTTATGCTTTTATCCAGTCTGGGCTCAAGAAGTGAGATCAGAGATGGAGTTCTTGGTTTGACTTGGAATTGCAGGTTAAAGAAATTAATACAACAATAAAGCGTGTAATACTGTCAGTGTTCTAATATTTCCACAGGAAAAAAAAGAGAGAATTTTAAAATATTTTTATAATTTTTATCATATCTGTGATGATTTAAGATATCTGAAAGTGATTTGCAAAATGGGACACTGACTTCAGTATACAAAGAAGAGAGATTGAAACTGTGTTCAGAAGATTCCCATCTTTCTACTAAGGTTTGATTTCAAGGTCAGGCAGAAATTCTTTTAGTGTAGACTGATATAAGAATTTGGAGACTGGAAGATGATCATTCTTTCCAACCTTATGCACAAGTAATATTTTTCACTACTATGAAAAGGTGTCCTTATCTATTCATTGGTGGTTTTAGTGCAAGGTATTTGTACATTTTGATACATATTTTTGTAACGGCATATGTGAAGTGAAAGAGAAGTTTCTTCCAACCGCTGTACTTGATCTTACTAGAATTAATTAATTTCTGTGCAGCAGAAGATGTACTTCCAGTCTGTCAGAACATACAAGGTCAGGTCAAACGATCTCAAGACAAACCAAATCATACATAAATCACACTGCAAAGAATGAAACCGCAATAAACACGTCCTTCATATCCGGGTGTGTTACAATTCATTCCACTTCTTCATTTATTCATGGTCAGCAGTTACAGCAAGTGTTTTTCAGCATGAATTAACAGTAAGCATGCAGGGTATCATAAACTTTGTGATAAGATTAGAAAGATGGTGACTGAAACTTATCAGTTGATGCAAATCCCATTTGAATATGCAACAGTTAGCCAAGTACGAGTTTCTTTTAGTGGTTCTGACATTTAAAATAAAAAATCGCAAATGTCTGTCAAAAGTGATGGATGTGCTGGATACCCTTCAACCAGGAGAAATGATGATTTGGTAGCTCGAGCATGAAATGGCTGAAGAGGTATGAATGATTTATAGCTTGTGCCATCTTAACTGAAGTTCTGTTAATGTGGCATGTCTCAAAGATTGTTTCTTTAATGTGTTGAACTATCAAAACTACATAAAAATGTCAACAGGTAACAAGACAAGGGTTTACAGTTGTGATACAAAACAAAGCATTCATAAAATTGGAATTCACCTTCCTTGCCATCATAAAAAAGAGCCAAATGCTCAGCAGAATCAAAGTGATGCTGATTGTTTGGTTACGAAGACAGAGATATCTCAATGGTGCAGTGAGTTACACAGTGACATGGCTGGTAAGTGGAAAATTTTCCATAACATTGTACTTGCCTACTCAACCCATCTTATGTAGTTATTTTTCTGATTGGCTCCACTTGAATTTTTTGTTGTATAGTTTGAAGGAACCATGAGAAGCAAAAGATTTGAGAATGTGGAATAAGTGTATACATAATGAAAAAACTTTTTAAAATTAGCATCCCATTCTGGTAAGTACTTCATCTTAATTTTACAGATTGAATCTTAGTATTTTCCAGTCATGTTTCCTTTAATTTCTAAGTGTCCATTGGATGGAAATTTTCCTGAAAGATTGCCCTATGAGATATGTAACATTGTTTAACCCATGTTTGATGGCTGGCTGGATTGTCACATGAACCTAGGGTAAATACCTTGAACACATTTTAGGAAGGGCTGCCAATATCAAAATTTATGACATTGTTGAAGTAGAAAGGAGAGGTCAATTTTCTGTTACATTTTAACTGTGTGCATCCATAGGAGAAAAGAACTTGCCTGCACTAGAGAGGCATATAGGTTCTAAACAGACTGTATAGCCATTTTGTGATATGATTGTGTGCTTGAAGCCTTTTGGTCAGAAGAAAAGCCATCTACTCCTAGGTTTTGTTACATCTCTTTTCTTCAGTAAGACATCCAAATCAATTTAGAGAACCTGTCTTGCATTTTGTCAAAATGTTGACTTAACTTTATGTGACAATTGTGTATTTCATTAAATAAACAATAACACCATATGAAATGAGCATATACAGCAATTACATTCTTTATTTTCAGTGAATCAGTATTTCTTCAGTGATATTCAAACATACTTTCTATGTCATGCGAGGCTGTGGGGCATAGCCAATGCGTTCATGTATTAACTCCTGCTTTGTTTTAGGGATACCTGATGCCCATGTCTCAGCAGATGAACTATGGCTGGGTGTATGCTGCTCCTTTCGACTCTCTTGTTCTCGCCTCATGGATTCATATTCTTGGATGTCATCCAACTTCAGTTCAATACGAGTTGGACTACGACGAATCATTTCAACCTAGGTTAAAAAATAAAGAATAACCATTCTAGAAAATCATAGATCATTGTGGTGACAAATTTCATAGATTGGTAACATTGCCACATTATTTTTACAATAATCAGAATGAAATAATTTTGTTTTATAGAATAATACGATGAAACCATGCATTCGAGTTAATTTTTAAATTTACTGACTCTTAAATGTAACATGTATCAAAAAATTTAAAGTCAATCTAAGGAATTTTGTCTATCCTTTATACATAACCTAAAAGAAGTGTAATCTTGTCTGGAAGAAAGCTGATGTTGGTTATGTGATGTACTAGAACATAAAGAGTTTACAGTTTAAAAACCGTGTAATACTTTCAAAGTGCTGAAAGTTGGATCGTTACTTAAATATTTTACACTTACTGAAAATGTTATATTTGGAAGATTATCTGGAAAGTATGTATAATATTTTCGTCCAATATCTTTCAGGTATCTTCGAGGCACTCTAGGTGTGACGCCCATGTAATGACTGAAACTTAGAATGATTTATATTACAATGTTATATATTTCGCGCATTGATCGCAGATAATTAATTTAGTTTGTAAATAAGCGACTTCACGTATATTTAACTATGGTGACTGAAACCAGTATGTATTGACTCGAAAATTATAGCTACTTGGTTGATGTATTTTGAGTACGTAATATAAACACATTTTTGGGTTAAAGATGACACATGCCCATAAAATTATTGTATCTTTCTTATTATAATTACAGTGATTGAACATCTTCCTCAGGAATTAAGGGACAGATTTACAGAAATGCGAGAAATGGATTTATCGGTGCAAAGTAAGTTAATGCAATTAAAACAAATCTTGAAGGATGGGCCTTTTCTGGTAGTCACTATATGGGTAAAATATATGCTATTTTTGCTTTAATTTACAACTGTTATTTTTACAACATGAACAATGTTATAAGTTTTATAAGCTGTGAAATGTTTGAAGTGTTTTTTTACAGATAATATGGACAGTTTGGAGAAACGAGTCAAAACCTTTTTCTCAAATGCAAAGAAAATGAAGCCACAAGACAAAGAAAATGAGTATGAACTCATAAGGAAAGACTATTATAAAACTTTAGAAGATGCAGGTAAGGTTATCATTAACACATAAGCAGTACATAAAATGTCTGCTGACAGTTTATTACATAACATTTTTCAAATGCAGTAAGAATTATTTTAATATGTATATTTATATTTTATTTCAGATGAGAAAGTTCATTTAGCAAATCAAATGCATGATCTTGTAGAACGCTATCTACGACGCCTAGATCAAGAACTTCATAAATTCAAAATGGAATTGGAAGCAGACAATAAAGGAATAACTGAAGTCTTGGAGAAACGTAATGTCACTGCATTGCATTTGCATGTCATAGAACATCTTATGGTCCCATACATGTCTGTATGTCTTCTGCAACTTTCATAACCTTGTTGCAACAATGATTTTTGACATTCTGGACCACTTTATTTTAACATTGCCTTTGTTTTTTCTTGACAAATTACCTTGGATAGCAATTTTTAACAATGTCTGAACACCATTCATGCCTATCGTTTTCTGTGATGTGAGATAAAAACTTTTAGTTTACAACAATCTTGATTGTTGTTATTTTATTATGCTATAAACACTTAATAAGAATTTGTGTAATGAATAAATATTAAACATTTGAGATATACTTACTGCTGTTTAATGTCTGTTTATTTACATAACAATTACAGGTTCTCTGGAATTGGATCAGCCACAGCAGAATAGCAGCCAAAAGGAGAATCGTTATAATTTTAGCTCAACAAGAAGTTCTCACCATGGTATTCATGTCTATAATTTTGTCCTTTAATGTCTGTTAATGTAATTCTATCATTCTTCCTGTAATATATTTCTTAATAGGAATGAAATACTTTTATAGGAATGGAATGACATACAAAATTAGGGGCTCCTGGGATTGAAGTACGGTTAGGTTTAGCAATCCCAAGGATGAAAAGTAGCTTTTTTAGGCATTTTGGTATGAGAAGGATCAAATTCTCTTGTAGGTTAGTTTTAATGTGTGGAGAATTGGTAGTGGATCGCAGATACTGCAGTTTTCCTAAGGAGAAGCCATCTTGGCTCTGAAAGATTTTAGAGTACCATAGAATATCTTCTGAATAACATTTTAGAAATGGATTTAAGTTCAGAAGCCAAGTCCCATTTACCATACATTTTCACCACACTTCACATAATTGTATAAAACTTATTACAAACCTATAAATTATAATTGACAATTATAAAGCAAAGGACAAAGAGATGTCTCTGTACACTTAGAAGAACAGGAGGGGACTTTGGTAAACCTTAGGATAGTCGGTGACCTGGCTGAGATTTGAGTTGGATACCCTCAAATAAAAGACAAATGTTACTATGTAAGGTTTGAGGTATTCACAGTGGTGAGTATGAAGATTTCTGTCTTCTGGGTTGTTGCGCTGTGTAGTCTGGTCGATGTTTACCAACGTTTCAGAGGTCATACTGCCGCCGTCATCAGGGCGATGAATATTCATCGACCAGACTACACAGCGCAACAACCCAGAAGACAGAAATCTTCACAAATGTTACTGCTGCATGGTGACATAGTAAAACAAAATTTATTTACAGAGATGAAAGTATAAAAGTACATAACTGTCAGTATTTTGTGAATCAAGATGAATATTGGTCAGGTGCGATTTTGTTAATGGTGCGTAGGAGATTTATTTGAAGAATTACAGTGGTTTCGCTTAGTAAGTCCAGCAATACTTTGACTCGCAGGACGCTCGCGTACGTAGTTATTTTCCCTCCTTATAAAAGAAGTGAGACTGGAAGAACAAAGGTCCACAGCTCACAGAGGTCGAAGAAAACATTTACCTTCTCATATTATGTTATTGAGTTGTTATGCTGTTTTTGCAGAGAAGCGACGTGATTCAAATGCCTCAGCTGTTGGTACTGAGAAACGTCTCGCAATAGAGAAACCTACAGTGACGGTACCTGAGCCGAGACCACTGCCGGCTAGTTCAGGATCGGTGCCAGCTGCACCTTTACCCGCCGCACCAACGAATGTTAGTTACAGTCTTGGCCATATTGGGGCTGGAGGCAATGCTATTGCTGCTGCAGCTTCTCAAGCCATTGCAGCAACACAACAGGTACAGACGGTGATGAAGTATTAATATTTCCATTTACCATTAAGAATATTGTTTGATTGATAGCACTAGTTAATCATTGCCGTATTACTGAATCATATTCCACGCAGATGCAGCAAGGGCGTCGTACAGCAAGCCTGAAGGCTTCGTATGAAGCTATTAACACCGGGGTCCATGCTCATGAATTCAGTATTGGGAAAGAGCTGGCAGGTGCTGCTCAGACAGCCATTGCAGCCATTCAGGAAACTACCAAGAAACAGAAAAAGTATGTAATTTTTTTATGAAATATAATGTCTGTCTGTCCATGTATGAAAAGCTGATAAGATTACAACTAAAGTCTTAATAGTCAGTCAGTTTCTATCTAAATATAAAAGATCGTACAAATGTATCGTTATTTTGAGTTCAGGTGCAATTCTTGTGAGTGAGAAAAATGCCCTGAGATACAGGCTACTTTAAGGGTTTTAATTCCCTTAGAAATGCCAGAGATAAGTAAGTAGGTATGTATGTTGATCATGAGTCGGCATAGCTCAATCAGTATAGTGACTGGCTACGGACTGGGCGACTGGGATTTGATCCCTGACGGGGGCAGAGGATTTTTCCTCTAGCCTCTGCGTACAAACTGACTCTGGAGCCCACCCAGCTTCCTATCCAATGGGCCCCGGGGTAAAAGCATGGCCGGGGCGTGATGCTGACCACTCACCCCATCTAGTGCCGAGGTCAAGAAAAAGAGGAGCTATACCTCCACTCCCCCCAAGTGCATGTATGGCACGTAGCGGGACAGCTTTAATTACTATGTAGATTAATGTCTGGGGATAAAACCAATGATGCTGATGCAAGGGAGGGCAATATTTTATTTATTTTGTCTATGGCTTTCGGAGAAGATGAATTCAGTGAGTCTTTACAGGCAATGAGCCACATCACGCGACCATATAAAACCGATGTTTCAAGAGGCGTCTCTGCCCTCGTCATCAAGGATCTGGTGTGATATTGAATCCTCGATGATGAGGACTGAGATGGCTCTTGAAACATCAGTTTTATGTACCATAACAGGAAGTCTAGCTCGTCATCATCATTATCAACAACTTCTGTCAGCGTGTCTGCTGCTGCCACGTCGGTAGCTGCTTTACCACCTCCAATTGCACCTTCTCCGCCTCCACAGCAAGAGCCCTCTGATCCAGGAGCGGGCTCGGACGTTAACGTTGATCCAAATGCAGAGAATCCTGACTGGACTTATGATCCCAATGAACCTCGATATTGTATCTGCAATCAGGTGTCGTACGGTGATATGGTGGCATGCGACAATGAGGATGTAAGTATTGGGTTTCGAATTGGGACTCCAGTTGCGACTATAGCTCTATAAAAGTTTATTCGAAACTATGAAATGTATTCCTGGTGCTTTATGAGATACGGCTCAAATTTCATTGCAGTATTAATTAAAGGATAATCAATATTGTTATTTAAGTAAAACATTAATATTGCTTTTAATCATTACACATGTTACCGTTGTTAAATTGATCCTGAATGTGAATCAAAGGAGCTCAGTGTCTGTTCCTTAAACAAGTGTTTTCATATATCAATTTAAAATCATCAAGGATTAATTCCCTCTTTTCTGCACATGTTCTTGTTTTTCACAGCATTCTAATATGTATATATATATGAATGGTTAAATTTTTCAGTGTCCATTCGAGTGGTTTCATTACAATTGTGTGGATATCACAGCACCACCCAAGGGCAGGTGGTACTGTCCGCAGTGTACGGCTAACATGAAACGAAGAGGTTCCAGAAAGAATTAACGCAAAGTTTTATGTTGGTCTCCCTTCAACATGTTGATGGCAATTATTCGTTAGACGGACATTTTAGTTATAAAATAGAGAATCAATTACGAAGCGCTACTTTTTTAAGGTGGCAATTTTTATGCGATTTAGTGGAAAAATGAAGGATGCTTCGCCATGAATAAAAATGTGATGCGGAGAACCTGTAATAAAGAGTAAAGAGGATGATGTACCCCTTGGTATGCATTCTGATCCGGTAATGTTTTGGAGATCCAGAGCAGGAAGTTTAAGTGTTTTATCCTGTATTGTGGTTCTATAAAATAATAAAAAGAAAAAGAGGACAATGTAACGCATTCTGTTACGCATTCCAGTTCAGGGCCTGTTAGAGTGTCGAAAATTTTAATTTTAATTCGATACCGAGTTCTACAAAAATTTAATAAAAATAAATATGGGTAAAGTAATGAAAAAAGTAAGACAAGATTGCACTTTCTGTTACATATTTTAGTTCAGGGGCAGGTTCTTTGTGTGGTATTAACTAAATAGAAAACCTGGGGTGTGTAACTTGGCTTCATCATCTCAGTTCTCATGGGAGCAGTAACTAACCTCAAATCTCTTTGTTCTCCTCATTACTCAGTGCGGTCAAGTGCTGTAAAAGGGAGATAGGAAAAAGGTAGCAATGTTTGCTGAAAGTAAACAGAAACTAAGAACAATGAATAGTTGTACAATAGTAATTTTTCTAGTTGTAAAATTTATGTACTATGGTAAATAGAAATTAAATAAATAAAATCATGGTTCGGCAATAGTTCACACACAATTTGCCAGGAAACATCGACTAGAAGTACTGATTCTTCAGAATCAACCCAACTTGTGTGCTGCTGCCATCTGTTGAGCGTTGAGAATGTGGGACTCTGTCAGGATACTTTATTTTCATCGAATTGAATGAACTAAAACTAAACTATCTTTGCTCTGTCCAGTCAAATACTGGGCAGAGAATTCATAATAACTTCTTAGCGTGGATGAAAAATGTCCAAGAATATGCATTAGTTCATATTCTATTTGTAGATTCTGAGGTAGGCCTACATGGTGTATTAAATTTCGATTATATATGAGTATACAAGCAACCATGGCTTACTCTACAGAAACCATGACTTTCGATAAAGAGACATTTATAGAAGTTGTCACCAGTGGAATCATATCTCGTTCGGAAACTGTCACATTTTGCGTATACACCATGGTGGAAAAAAGAGGAGAGTTATGGGTAATTTATGTGACGTGTGCGTGATCATCTTCCAACGTACATATGAATAAACTTCAGAACGGATAACCATCAGTTTAATTAAATTTAATATTTGAGAGTTTTACGAAAAACTTGGAAATTTGTAATTATTAATTAGATCGGACAATTTTAATGGCCACTATATGAGAGCATAAATATTTTTGAGTTTATTTTAAATACTCGAGAAAAGCAGTCGCACAAACTATTTTTTTTAGTGTACTTGGATAAACGTTAAGCAATAAATTGCCTGTTTTAACTTAATTTGTTGACAATTCACCACAATATTAATTAATTACGTCTATTATGATCAAATATGACGTCATACGCAGATTAGTTCAGTTCTTGTCCTCTAATTGGCGACACGTTACTTTTACCACCACTGTATAAACAATCTCATTGGTTGCTGAGCAAATCTGTTCTGGGTGGTACGACTGTTAGTGACTGACGTATATTTTTTGTCCTGTTCTTGTCCGTGAATTTTAGTTTACTTTGTGATTGTGTGTATTTTATTTAATTGCATTACACATTTTTCGGTGTGTGAAGGAAATAAGTCCATTATTAAAATATGTTAAAGTGCGTGTCATACAATGTTAGTCCAGTACAATTTTCGGTTGCACGTGTTGCAATCTAATTCCGAGGTCACGCTTGTGTTTAGAACCGCAAAGTGGTAAGTACATAAAAAACAAATGGCCGTACATTTGATATTTATATATTTACCATACGGCGACAGTTGTGTTAATAACTTTTAATGGAGTGCGTTAGGGTTAGAAACATTAAATAAAGCCAAAGTTCAGTGAAAGGTTCCATTTTAGGTTCTTTCTGCGGCGAGTATGAAGATGACTTTGGGATGATGCGCCGTGTAGTCTCTTGGACTGTGACAGACCTTTCAGAGGTACTTACTGCCTCCATCCTAGTATTATATTAAACATAAATCAAGTGAATTTTGAGCAACAATATTTTTATTAAGATTACATAAATGTTATACGTGCATATATCCTCAATTAGGCCTCTTTCATTACGAAATCGGTAGTTGTTTGTTGAATACAGGTCTAGTAGTGTGTGATACACGTTTTGAAATTTATATTGACACAGCTGTCGGCGAGTGACAGTGTAAAATGGATCTTAAAGAACTAGGATGTAAACGTGGTAGTTGATTTGATATGTATAGTAAACACAGTCATTACATCAGAGGCATTTTCAGAATCCATGTGGTTCTCTTCGTAATAAAGTTCCTATTACAGAATTTCACTATCATAGCAAACAGTTTATAAGCGAGTTTATGGGACGGCGTCTTCCCAGCTCAACTAGCCAAAAAATACCCCGGCTTTTAAGGAACGAAGGTTTTTACCGTGTTTGCTAAAACACACCACGGGCTCCTATCCTGAGGGAGGTCATTTCAACTTGCAGCTTTACATCCTATTTAAGACCCATTTTAATATTATATTCGTATCTATGCCTAGGTCTCCCAAGTGGTCTCTTCAAGGTTTTTCGGATGAAATTGTTTCTGTATTTCTCATCTCTCCCGCCCGTGCAACATGCAGTTACCGGCCCGTAGGCCAGATGCCCTGTCAGGATATTCGTGGTTTCCCTCAGTCCCTTCAGAAAAATACTACAACAGCATCGTCAAAAGGGGCGGAGCGTTCATGTTAGGCCGGGCGCAAACGCAGCCACTAGTGGCTAAACACGACCACTAGTGGTCGTGTTTAGCCACTAGTGGCTGCGTTTGCGCCCGGCCTTAATCGCGTTAGCCCAGCGGACACGGTGGTTCAGTGGTTCCACATTAGAACGCAACAAAACCGCTCAGATGAAATGTTTAGTTAGCCACTGGCTAAAGATGCATTTTATCAGATCGGTTCTGCTGTGTTACAGTGTATGGTGTAGGCCTACCATTAAACCACAAAATTAAAACTTTCTGTTTTTCGCGTTTTAAAGTGTTGGGTCACATCATTAAAGCTGCAAATTGTACAGAGTCGTACTTAGTTCTTGCACACGATTGCTCTGGCAATGGCTTTAATGGCTGCAAACGTCTCCTTCCCCGTGGCGACAATCTGCGAGGCAGGAAGTAGGAAACCATAAGTTCCGTCGTCTCTGAGCTCCACCGTGTAAGCGTATTTGATACCCGCTGCTCCTTTCGCCCAGTCGTCAGCTCCACCTACATGAAAACAAAGAAGCATAATTTGTTTTTGACACAAACGTTGACCATTGCCCGTCTGTAACTTTTATAATACAAGGAAACGAGTACAATCCGTCTGCTCGGTTATCGAGAATAGAGACTATTGTAGTCGAGACAACATCGATTGTCGATCTCTACGACGCAAAAGTCTCGAACGCTTTCGGAAGCAAGTTTTACTGTGCTTATAAGCACACTGATGATGGTTTGTACAAGAACATTTTTTTCTCTACTGTTCCAATTACTGGTTAACTAATGCCATGGTGCAGAAACGTCATATAAACGTTTATAGTTATTTAGTTGTTTCAGGATATTCCCTGCTGTTGTGGAATGTGAACGTTTATTACCGAATTTAAAAAGACGCATCAGGCTGAAACTAGCCGCCATTTTCACTCCAAGTTCTGTTTCTGTATTATCCTTTCATTTATGTCAGTCTGCTAAAAGATCTCTTCCAGTGACGTTTTCTAACAAAAATTTTGCTTGAATCTGTATTTTTCCCCATTGTATGCTACACTCCGGCTTGATTTAATCTCCCCTTGCGCCTTGATATAATCACCAAGACTATACCAAACGAAGATAACAAATTATTAATCTCTTCATTGTGTAATTTTACACCCAAAGTTGTTGGTGTATAATTCAAGTTATACATAGTATATAATCTACATCTAAAATAAATTAAATAAATTACATTACTGATTATTCAGTGTTTATCATAAAATAATATTTTTTTTTTAAAATTTCACGTACCCCCTAAGATGTCTTCGCGTACCCTCGGGGGTACGCTTACCCCAGGTTGAATACCACTGGTCTAGAACACACAATAAATAAAACTCAAAACCCCAAGGCTGTGAAAGGATACAAATTGTGTCAGTTCATCAAACCTGCAGTAATATATGCATAGTAATGTATATTTCTTATTTTAACGTTCTTCAATCTCTAATAGCTACCTGTGTATAATGCACTACTTGTTTAGAATCGCCCGAGTGACTAGTAAGTATCCAGTTTAAACGTGTAATTGAACGTTTTTTGCCATTCCACGTATTGACCAAATCGGTCAGTTACTTTGCAGCGCAACGGGTGATTTAGGCAGTTGTTAACGGTATTATATGCTTTTAACAGTTACGTCGCACGTCAGTCTGGGTGGCGGCGGCGGCCCCGTCTAAGGTTCTCAAACCACAGAGATCGTGGGCTCAAATTCCGCTCTTTTCTGTGTTTTTCTATGAAGGCACGAGCCGTAGATGTCAAAAACTTACACCCAAAAAGTCATAAAGTTATTCTAATGATTTAGAAAACGTCTACAGTGGAGCAGAGCGTGCCCCAAATCGCAGAAAGCATCTCAGAAACGTCGGTGAACTTCTACCAGTAACAGTTAAACAGTATGTAGTTTATAACGGCGAGTAATGACGCATGTAGAGGAATCCGGTCGTCACGTCCTCAGCATTTTCGTGGAAGTACTGAGGAAAACCACATGAGTCTGAGGATAGCCAGTCCCCAGTCGGTATTCGAGGCCCCCTCCTCCTGATTGCTTGTCAGACACGTTACCTGCTGAGTGCGTTCTTTCTGCAGTAAGGAGCACGTGATGTCTATGAGATACTAATTATTAACGTGTTTCTTATGAATGCCGCATAGGAAGACCTTGTCTTAGGAATGTTACGAATATCTGAGTGTCTTGTTAAACTGACGATTTCTCGTATACATTCAGTATCTGGGCCAGGATGGTCGATTAAGAGCGCAGACCAATGTGCGTGCGTGCAGAATGAATGAGAAGAAATATGCCTAATGGAAGCAGTCAACATTTTTGAGCGGATGCGGAGGAACGTTCCAACATATGTCGCCATCTGGAAAACTAAACAAACAGACTCAACAAAGAGCTTACTGTGTTAATAAACTTCACCATTTAGGGGCGGTGAGACCGTTTTGAGTCGCTAATGATTTGAAAAACGAAAAATAAGTTTTCTGTCTAACTTTCGCGGTGCCCAAATTTATAACTTCTGTTGGGCATTTCTCAAATGCCCAACAGAAGTTATAAATTTGGGCACCGCGAAAGTTAGACAGAAAACTTATTTTTCGTTTTTCAAATCATTAGCGACTCAAAACGGTCTCACCGCCCCTAAATGGTGAAGTTTATTAACACAGTAAGCAGTGGTACTCCATACACTGAAATACAGAAGCGACCAGATTAAATGTATCGTTAGCCTGCTAATCAGTTGAGAAAATCTGGCGGCGAGCTTCGACTGAGTTATAATTTTCTGAACGAATTCGTAATCTGAAACACAGTCTGCTTTCTCTTAGGGAATTCCAGAGACATTGCAAGTGTCTTAAATTTGAAGGGACTGTCTCGATATAACTCCCGCCACTTTCAATATCTTTGGAGGAATGTGATAGACCCTTCGAAATTCTGTACTTACTATCTTGCACCCTGGAGCCCTGCAATCCTTACCTGAAGTAGGGTATAGCAGTGAAGGCGATGGGCCGAGCTGATACTGAGTTCCACTGACCCTGTTCAAGGCGTCCACCGCTTTTCTCCCCATGTTCATGAGGTCGTCGTAGTCCCCTGTCTTTTTGCTTGTGTAGCCCCAAGGTACGAGCCACATCTGGGAGTATGCGTGCATTGTAAGGTACAGTTTTATTCGGTCTTTCCTGTCCATTATGAAGTCTGATATGGCCCTTGTCTCCGGCTCCGAGAAGGGTCTAGGACCGGCGTACGTTTCGTGACAGGGATCATCCGATGCGCCAACTTCGCCCCAGTGGAAATTCCAGTTCCTATTCATGTCTACGCCACGACACGACTCCCCCCAGAAGAAATTCGTCAATGTCCTGGAGGTTTCCTCGTCTTGGGACTCGTGGTTTGACCGTGTCTTCCTCCAGAAGCGATCTGTGGTGTGAGAGTATTCATAGCCGTCCGGATTGGATACTGGGAGTATGTACCAATCAGCACCTTCAACTACTTTACGATTCACTTTGAAGTTCTCAACTAACTGTTTCAACGTGTACATGACCACAGCCGGTGAAATCCATTCCCTGGCGTGCATTCCTGAAACAGAAAGAAACTCTTTTAAGCCTTTGAAGCCGAAAAGACATTGGAAATGTTTTCTGGGATATTAAGTCGTGTAGTCTGGTAGAAGTTACCGACGTTACAGAAGTGCTTTCTGCCTCCATCATCAGGTCGGTGATGAGAGGAAAAATCCAGAAGGCAGCCATTTTCATACTGAGGTGTATTTTACACGACTAATTCTGAGTTTCATTGAAACCTACAGGGCCGTTTATTTTTTAAAACAAATATTTAGTGTCACCCGGTATAGGCATACGAAAATAACCATGTTATGAACTGTTTTGTATGGTTGTGAAACTTGATTCTTTTTCTGACTGGGAATTGGCTGTATATTGTGCGAATATTTTTGTTAACAGTTGTATATTAATAACCCAGTTAAGTTGACTTTAAAACCATAAACCATTTAATCAGTAAATCAATCGAACACTTGCATTTTTATGTAATCCAAACTTATTATCTTTTGACTGTATTAGGCAACAACATATATTATTTGTGCTATGAAATGGCGATCTGTTAAACTAACCTCCGTCTATCCAAACTGCTGGCTTGATGTTGCCGTCCTTGGTTCGCTGTCCAGTTGATATCTTGATGACTTTGAGAGGCTGTCCCTTGCTGGACTTCCCTATGATCAGCAACTCCACGAGTTCTGGGTATTTCAGACTTAGATAGTTCATGTATCGCAGCATGTCTGCAAGCAGTACAGAATCGGGAACATAACACTTTGCGCTCATAACTTTTTGTTGTTGGAGTGAAAGCAGTAATAATGTGCAACTGCACGTACCGGAGTATCTGTGATATCTCTGGAAGGTCATATCATGTCCCTTGTTAGTCCTCAATTCGACGCGTTGCTGTCGTGACATGCTCGGGTTCTGGGAGGCAATTGCCTTCTGGAACATGCATTCAACACTTTGTAACTATATGTTGACGTAACATTATGTTTCGATTTGGTAACTTCCTCTAGTTTGTCTTGCATCTCTCAAGTATTGTATGTGTTACGTATTACAGCAATAGTTTTCATTGTCTGCATGCTTTGAACGACGTCGATCTAGTTGTCTGCTGAGAGGAATTTCTGGCCGTGTGTGTGTTCATAATAGTTTAATTCTTCAAAGGTGTAAATATTCCGTTGCTAGATAAATGTGTTCGCTGAATTACGCTGTGAATTAGAAGTTAAACTGTAGAAAATATGGATTTCAAAATAATATGATTGTAACAAAATGAATGTTTCCTTGTATAAAAATATTTCGTACATTGTTTTAACAATCTGGTTGAGAAGATAAAATGAAAGTGTCTGAACTTTCGGATTTGATATTCGTGCACGTAAGAACATTTATATTTTTCCCGTGATAGTAAGTACCATGCCATATAATTCAAAACCTAATTCATAGTTTGAATTAGTTTCAGGGTGATTTTAAATATAATGTTAACTTCTTTATATTTCTCTAAAAGAATGTTACCATTTCTTACCACTATAATTACTTCCACCGCAACACAAAACTGATAATAACACTTTTTTAAACTAAAGTGTCTTACGAAACTAATAATACTTAAGTAGAGGCCGCACAGAATTGCAGACTTGAAGGCCCTGTGTTTATTTTCAGCTTCGAGCTGTTATTTTTCTGAGTCCACGCACAGTACACGTATCTCGCCTGCAGTAAGTTAAGTGACTTTTATTAAACACAACATTTTCATGTAACGTTGCATGTGAAATATGCCAGAGTTTGAATTACAGTTCAGTAATTTTATAAGAATCCATTATGAGCTTCCGTACATGCTATTGAATATAACTATAGGGTGTCTCAGACGTTCTGCACCGTTTCTGTTAGATTTGTCATATGACACAGATACCACATCCAGCTAACTCTCGTTCTGCTTTCAGACGCTGCAGTAAAAGCGCCTAGTTGTTATAGTAGATCATGTTCGTCACATTCACATTTTTATTGTTTCTAATTTTTGTAACAGGAGAATTAAAGATGGCGTTGGTGCATTATTTGAGTGGAGCAGAAAATGTGACTTCGGCTACATTCTATGTTCATGACCTGATTGAGACGGGTTTTACAATGCTTAGCCAGAGGGATAATTTTATGCAAATAATAACTTGGATTTATTTTTTTTTCTATGGAAAAAGAAAATGTGCTCGTATGATGCAATATGTTGGGAACAAAAAAAAATCCATTTGTCATTATGTGGTTTCGGGCCTGCAGCTAGTGTTCTCTTTAAGCCAGGAATGTGCACTTGGAAAATGCCTCTTATATGTCTGTCGTAATCTACTTAGATTGTAGTGTTTCGAAAAGCGAAAATAAAAAGTGCACACTTAGCAAGTAAAGGAACTTAGCATTTGCGATAGGCTAAATATCATGACACTTTAATGGCTACTTCCGGCTTTGGCGCCTTTTGAGATGGAACGGTGTAGTCAGTGCAGTATCTTGAAATGTGAACTGTGTGTGAAAGTGACTCACAAAAATTAACAAGAATCCTGACGATGAATATTTGGAAGATATTACGTTTTGTCTAAACTGGAATATGACGGTACAATATGAAACACCAGTCAGGAATGTGACATTAAGATAAACAAGGGCTTGTGAGAAGCGTAATTCTTATATATGATTTAAGGTTTTCACAGCGGTGAATATGAAGATTTCTGTCTTCTGGGTTGTTGCGCCGTGTAGTCTGGTGGATGTTAACCCACGTTTCAGAGGTCATACTGCCTCCGTCATCAGAGTATGAAGATTTCTGTCTTCTGGGTTGTTGCGCCGTGTAGTCTGGTGGATGTTAACCCACGTTTCAGAGGTCATACTGCCTCCGTCATCAGAGTATGAAGATTTCTGTCTTCTGGGTTGTTGCGCCGTGTAGTCTGGTGGATGTTAACCCACGTTTCAGAGGTCATACTGCCTCCGTCATCAGAGTATGAAGATTTCTGTCTTCTGGGTTGTTGCGCCGTGTAGTCTGGTGGATGTTAACCCACGTTTCAGAGGTCATACTGCCTCCGTCATCAGAGTATGAAGATTTCTGTCTTCTGGGTTGTTGCGCCGTGTAGTCTGGTGGATGTTAACCCACGTTTCAGAGGTCATACTGCCTCCGTCATCAGAGTATGAAGATTTCTGTCTTCTGGGTTGTTGCGCCGTGTAGTCTGGTGGATGTTAACCCACGTTTCAGAGGTCATACTGCCTCCGTCATCAGGGCGATTCATCATTGGTGGAAATCTACCGGGCTACACGGCGCAATAACCCAGAAGACAGCAAACTTCAGCTTCGGATTAGGTTTTCAAATATTCTTTGAAAATGTACCTTGCCGGTTGACCAGAAGTGACGAAGGAGCTAAAATGAATTGGTGTCGCGGTGTCTGAATCCAAGGTGTGCTGCTACATGGGCAATGAAGGCAGTTAGTCACAGGGACTACGACCTATTAAATGAGATTGCTGACTGCTGAGGGGTCAGGTGAAGTGTGAATCTGCAAAGCATGAAAGGGAGAAGTGCGGCTTGGTTGGGAGTTCGCTTATTAATGTAGCTATAATTTGTGCAATTCTGTGTCATTATCATTTATCCCAGTTTTGTATTTTACGTAATTATGATATGATTTTAAATTATTTGAGGTTTAGAGCGCTTTATTCCAGACACCACCATCTCGATCGTTTATTTCTTATTGATGTTTGTATTGGAAAACTAAATTACTATTCCATCATGTACACTGGTCCTTCAGCTAGGTGTGCCGGTGCTGAAAGCGACATTGCAGATTTTTTGATATGTTCTGAGGACAGTTTCTCTTCTGGAAAATTCCTAGTTTCATTTTTTAGTTTAATTTAATTTTATTGTTTTGGTTTTAGAGTGTTTATATTACTAATGTGTATATTTATTTCCCTGTTATAAGCCCCTCGCTTTTGACAAAGGCTAACAAAATAAGCGAATTTGATAATGAGTTAAATATTTTTCGATTTGCATTAGTGTATCCACACAAATGTTTTGACAGTACATTTAAATGACCACAACCAATTCTTTAAATGTTTATTTAGTTACCATTTACGATCACATATTTTTTCGGCACCATAGACTGTAGTTTCATCGTTATTAAATTACGTAATCAGCTGAAATTAGCAGAATCTGTTGCGGTAATAAGAGAGAGATAATGGAAACCGATATTTTTTACGCGATAATTAGTCTGAAGGTCTTGGGTCAGACAGTCCTATAATTTAACTGGTACCGAGAGTAGAGTGGGAAATAATTCTAGGTTTTGATCTGAAAGAGAAATTATTGTACGTATGTGTTACAGGCACTGAAATTACTTACTAACATAGCAGGTAATCAATAGAAAAGCGAGTTGTAGCTGATTGGAAAAAAGGTTAACAAAACTCTGTAATTTTAAATGCCCCTAATTTAATACAAATACTATTTATCTGCTTTTATTCTTATGTAATGACGTAAAGCTTTAATGGGAGCAGTGGATTATAGAAGAGAAGGAAACCTTGGCTTACTTAGGGCGTGTGACATGATGACTAAGGTTGAATAAACTGGATCTGTTTCTCACCGGAAAAAAGAGAGAAAATAATTGTTTTCTATAACGGAAGTTCCGCGGCAAGTGTTACAAACACTCGCTGTAGGCGTTGTACATTTTGGGAGTCCGATGGGCCGAACCTGAGTACTATCACTAATTATACTGGTAGGTATTTAAATCTTGTTGCGATACGTATTTGGCGTATCGCATTACAATGATTCATCACTGTCATTTTAGCGTGTCGAGCATATTTTGTATTGCCTGTTTTCGTAAATGTAAACGTTTTCATCGAATTGTCCACATTTCGCGACTTCCTATAGTTCTGTCTGTAATTTTGTGGCCTTACGAAAATGAGAATTAAGTATAAAAAATCATCACGAAATTTTTCTTATTAAAAGTATACAGTTTAAACCGAGTTATATCAACGTACAACACTTTCCATTCACTGGCATAATGAAATACTGAGTTAAGTGAAGGTTTAAAGTTGAATCGTATTTTCTTGCAGAGTGATGTTTAGCGAATTAACTCTCTTTTCACCACAAAAGTTTGTTGAGTAATCAGAGGTTCAGGCTTTTAGTAGAGAAAAACACAGAAACTCTGTTAGTTGCTAATAAACAAGTTGGTGTAGTAATACACGTGGAAAAATCTAAGTGTATGTTCATGTCTGGTCACCAGACTGCAATACAAAATCGAAGTATAGGCCTAAAGTTAACTCACAAATTGTTCGGAAATGTAACAAAATTTAAATGTGTGGGAAGCAAGATAATCAAAATTGGCATTTATTAAGACGTAAGATCGGATTACATCCCGAAAATGCTTACCGTCGTGAAGTTCAGAGTATTTAGTATTCCCGTTTTCTGTCTAATATCTTCGCGATTAAAGCACACGGAATTATAATCACACGCTTTGTTTTGCGTGGGCGCAAAACATGGCCTCTCACATTAAGGGAAGATACACGGATGCTGAACTTTCGGAGAATTTGTTGACTGTATGAGCGTACTGTTAACATCCCGCTAAGGACTCGTCTTCTTTAAGTCTCTATCGTATGAAGAATATTTTTCATAAATTGGTATTGTGACATGTTTGTTCTTTTATTTAAATGATTAAGCAACTCTAATTTTTGAATCTGTACTGTAATGCCACAAATAGTCGACTGCAGCTCGGCGCGTACATAAGAAGCTTAAGCCAGGGCCTTGCAGAGTACGTCTCACGCATCGGATGCGGCCTGCGAACCTTTATTTTTATTTATTTAGTGTTCTGTCTGAAGACAGGTCCATATGAACAGGATCCTTCCATCCTTCTCTCGGCGGAGGAAAATTCCGTGTTGCCTAGACCACGGCCTTGCCCAACACAAGTTATAAATTCGGGCACCGCCGGGAATCGAACCCGAGACCCCAGGATT